AGGTACCCGCTCTTTAATCTCCAGGATACACGTTTACCATTCTGCGTGCTGTATTCCTCCCTGGGAGGCTGACCTTCATGGATCACATCAGTAGCTGCTAGTTTTGTTCTGTGGTCTGACTGAGGAGAATTGCTAGCAGGAGACAGAGGGAAGAAGATTGAGTATGTAGTCTCCTTTTTCCTCTCTCTATATGACGACCTATCACTTAGGCTCTCTTAACCCTTCAATGAAGCCATTGCTCTCCTCCAGACAGACAACTCTACACATCCCACACCTGCCCCTGAACCATGGGGTCTAGGAAGTGGCAAGTGTTCAACCCTTACTGGCTGGGTACTGTGCTATTTGCATTTCCCTACATTTATGCGTTCTGTACACAATACCTTTGTAACTAAACCTTCTCCCAATTACTATCAAGTTACCCATTACTATCTATTTCATAGTGGGACTCTGATCAGTGCTATACTGATCCAGAAGCCTGCATGGCAGTACATTCTGGAAAGTAAGCTGTCAGGGGGAGCCGATCACGTCCTTCTCAAATCTTTTGTCTCTCCCTATCAAATGTGTTTACCTTCTGCTCTACAGAAGAACTTTGTGAAGGAGCCTTTAAATTTCTTCTTTTTTTTTGGATTTTTTTAAAATTTATTTATTTATTAAGGATTTCTGCCTCCTCCCCGCAACCGCTTCCCATTTCCCTCCCCCTCCCCCGATCAAATCCCCCTCCCTCATCTGCTCGAACCATCAATCTTGTCTGCCCTCATCGCCCCCAACACACATTCTCATTTTCCCTCCTTCTTCCCCCTCCCTCCCCAAACTTTTTGCCTGGAGAAATGCACAGTGTAATCACATTTTTGTATGATTTAAGTTACTTTTAAATACATACAGATATTTAAGCCCAGTAAAAGAACAGATTGTAACGAAGAGCCAAGAACAGAAAAGCATATTTTCCCTTTCCTTGATACACCCCAAATCAAGCCATATCAGCCTAGTAGAACTTTGGCCAGGGAAGCTCCCAAGTCAATAATGTATTCCTGCTACAACCTAGTCTCTAACTTAAATAAAGAGTTAGGCTGGGGATATTTGTTTTTAACAGCTACATCCATGAAAGATTTGCTTTGGGGGACACTTATGTGGTCAGATAAACCTAGAAGTCCCTTATCCAGTATAGTCAGATTTTTCTTTGGCCACCAGCTCACAATTAATGACACAGAAACTTATTAATTATGAAAGATTGGCCTTTAGCTTAGGTTTGTCTCAACTAGCTCTTATAACCTAAATTAACCCATTTATATTAATCTATATTCTGCTATATAGCATTACCTCTCTTCCATCTTGCACTTCCTGTTTCCTACCAGTTTCTGGCTGGCAACTCTACCTTTCTTCTTCCCAGAGTCCTTTCAGTGCCTGGAAGTCCCTCCTATAGTTCCTGCCCCATTATTGGGCATTTAGCTCCTTATTAAACCAATCAGAAGGCACCTTGGTGAAGACACATCTTCATAGTGTACAAACCGATTATTGCACAACAATCCAGGTTTCTATTGAGATCTTGTTTCCATCCCCCTATCTCAAAGCATCACTCAGTGTCCATGTCTCATATAAACAAAAAGAACAGTTTATAGCAGGATTCAACTTTGATAAAGGAAGAGGCTGGCCCTGATGGGGGCAAGGCAGAAAGATTGTGACTTCAAGACTAGCCTAGGGGTACAAAGCAAATTCCTGTTTAGGAAACAAAGAGATGGGATAACATGACAAAGTAAGGTTGCTATGACAAAGTGTTTTTTTAGGAAATGGAGAATGGATGTTGGAAAGAGAGATGCCCTTAAATAAAACAGCTTTTAACTTCTTGTCCCTATAGATGAAACCCTACAAGTTAAAAACAATATTGAAAAACAAAAACAAAAACCAACCAGTCTTGAACTAATAGAATATCAGTTGTCAAGCTTTCCCCCCATATGGCTTGCTGCCCATATTCCTCTGGGGGAAAAAATCAATGGTAAGATTCAGAAAAAGAAATTCATATATTGCTTTTAAATTGCATTTATTGTTGCCACCAATTCCCCAAGACAATAAAAATATTTTCTACATGAAGACCCCAAGTAAATGGATGCCTAAGAAAGATGACTTTAGAATAATCATTTTAGAGGAGTAGAAAGTGAAAAACCATACACAAAGTATAGCAAGAACAAAACCATGAAGCCATGTGGAAGTAGTATTTCTCATTGACAATCAAGTAAAACCAAGTGCATTGCAACAGATGGTATCCAAATCAAATCCTGGTACAGCACAGTATGGGAGCCTGTTTAAATGAATCAACTAGAAGCTTACTGAACAGTTAGACTCTCACATGAACGAACACACTCATTAATCCAGTTCTGTATAATATTTAGTTTTGTATAAGAAAGCTATTTTTTCCATGTTCTAGCTGACAGCCCAAACTGTCTTAGTCCTTTTCGAAACTTCTTGGAACGTGTGAACGTGATATCTGCCACTGAATGAGAAACGCACATGACAAGATCATTTCTAATTTCTTACCTAATAGTTAAACACATTCACCAGGACCATGTATTATGTATAAAATATAGCACCAGTAGTTGGGTTCCTGCGAACTGTTAACTATCTTAACTCAAGTTTGATATATTTCAGAATGTTTGGGATATGATTTGGGATATGCTTTTTCAAAAGATGGTAGGCACTTCCTGGTAAGCAGTGGCTCTGAGTGGAAAGGGCACTGGACCTGGAGTCAGAGGCAATGCAGGTTGTTTTCCCTAAAGAGCCTTCCCAGATTTGTTGCTGTATACTCTTTTGCTGTTAAACCTTGAGGTTTTGACAGAGGTCATTTTGAACCGGTCTCAAGCTGTTGTTGTTTTCATTTCCTTATTCTCCCTTTCAAGGGCTAGGAAACTTGAACTTGTTGAGGAAGTAGGGCCGGAGGAGTGAGTTTCTTTATGTCTCCGTGTTACGTAGGCCCACTCTGCTGCTCAACTGACCTGTTTCAGTTGCTTGTTAAATGCGGCCAGCCCCTCTGTAATCTATGCAGAAGATTTAGAAGGGTCTGGAAGGGGCAGTCCTAAGAGCAACAGCAGTCCATTCTGCCACGAAACCCAGAGAAAAGCACCGTGTTAGGAGCTAGATCTGTGGCTCTAGTTCCCAAGCTGAATCGGCTCAAGTTCCCAAGATTAAATACTTCCTTAATCAGTTCACTTCACCAAGCGCTGTTTTTGTTCTCAGCTTTCCTTCTCTTCTACTCTACTTGTGTTTGTATCTCTGCAGCAGTGTCTGACCAGAGGAAACCACAAGCTAAATCGGTCCCAAAGTGATCTCAGCAACTTCCTCTCCAATCTCTTTCTCTTTTATACCCAGTCATGATTAACAATATCACTATCTCATTGGTTTTAGCCAAGCTTAAAACTCTGGGGTCATTTTATACTCTTCCTTCCCCTCAATTCCTGTCTTGGTCTTGTCGTCTCTGTCTTTGATTCATCCCTTATGTTATTACTGCCCAAGTGCTCTGGCTAAAATGCCAATGTGCACACAGAGATTCCCTGATTAAAATGCTTTAAAGACTCTCATGCATCGTCCCTGAATACTCATGCAATCCACTCTCCCAGCCTTTCCTCTGAGCTCTCATGTGAACAGTTCAAAATTACCAAAGCACGAGATGATTGCTTCATGCTTATGGCTTTAAGTGCACAATTCCCTCTTCTACTTTCTCAGCCAGAGAGAGTTATTGTCCCTTGTGTTCCCCATAGCATTTCCGTATACTATGTCTGTATCTCTCGTTACCCTATGTCATAGTCACGTCTTCACTTGTCTTCCCCGGCAGGCTATCAGTTGCCCCTTCCTGGAGAAACTAAACATTGTAGTGTAGATCCAAACTGCAGGCTTGGAAGTGGAATTCTAATTTGCTTTGGACCCTGAGACACTATGCTATTCTGTAATGCACGCCTCCTCTTTTTGTTCCAGCCCTCCCTCTGGTGGAGGCATTAAGAAGCAATTGGAATGGTCACATGGCCAAAGAAAAAACAAAGCAACTTGGCTGATACACAACCTGGATAAACATCTGCCTCGTGTGATTTTTAAAGGAAATGCAAAACTGGCTAATGAGCATTGGCTTCAGGGAGGCCTGGCAGGAGCTTTTTGTCCTGCCACGTATTAGTTGGAGAATCCTAATTTCAATCCCCAAGGTTGTAGCTGGGGGATCAAGGCACCCATCCCTGCTGATCTCAAAGACAACCACACAACTATCAAGCAAGCGGGCCAAGACGATTTGACCAAAGAAGTTTTTTTTTTTCATGTTTTCTCTTCTGTTAAGAGTTGAGAAAAACTTGTTTGCAAGAATTTTTGCCTTTGGCTGGTTATACTACCGAGCAATCAAGAACCAGCGCCTCCCTATGCTAACACTTCTCCCTGGTTGCACTAGGATCTACTTCCCTCCACAAAATGTCTCACAGAAGGTCTTCATCTCTATCCCAGACCAATAACCTGCCAGCATTGCTTGCTGTCCTGGCGGAAAATAATGGAATCATGAATCAGTATTAAGTCACCTATGGGAGACAGCTAAATGTTCAAGCCCCCTACCCCTATATAAAGTTAGGTAGGGAGAGTGGCTTTCAGTTTTGTATAGTCTGGGTTTGTCTGGTGTTAGTTTCTGAGGAAAGACCTTGGAAGGCAGTTTTAAAGGTGAGTGCGTGGTGGGTTAGAATACCCACCTGACTGGGAATAATATCACCTCTAAAACCAACACATTTTAAGAAAACATGATAGACATTGTCCTGACAATATGAATGCTATCAGATGCTGTAGATAGTGAGACTTCTATCAAGAGGTCTGAATTTGTAGGGAAGGAGAGGAAATTAATATAGTCTGTCACCGGGAGAGACGACCTTAAAAAAAACCAAGCAGGTCCCACAATATCACTTCATCCACACGTCAAAGGCAAGGAAAGATGATCTGGTCTTAGGCGTCCATCTGGCTGTGTCTTAACTGAAGAAAAATGAATCGAAGTGCTACCAGGGATAACACAAAATGAAACCAGAACCGGTGTGAGTGGCCCCCAGGAGTTCCTAGGTTTCTATGTTCAGGGTGAAGATTATCCTCCCCACAAAACGATCGTTGATGACATCATTGATGATGCCTTTGCCCTTCAGCTGGCACTGTACAGGCACTACTTGGTTCTTCACCACATCTGTAAAATGCATTGCGACCAGGGGCGAGGTGTAGTTAACCTGTAGGGGCAAGAACAATACATTCTAAACGGACCAAGATGGCAGCAAGGATTGGGGAGGTGGTGATCAGAGGCTCAAGTTAGGATAACCTCGGCAAAGGGAACTGTGCAGACATCATGATGCCAAGTCCCAAGTGATTCCAGCAACTAACATGCTTTCCCTGCTTTCGAGAAATTACACTGCTCTCTCATAAGTCAGTGTCAAGTTGTCTGATTATCCTCTGGGGGGAAGTCAATTCTGACTCAGAATGATTTGATTTTATGGCTATCAGACCATAAATCAAACGAGAGCTAGTATACCTCAAGATCCTATAGTGGAGACGAAGCCTGCACTGGCCCACAGGAATGTGTGATTACTTGGACATTAAACACACTGTTAATAATGTCTCCTCCTGGCTTGGTTGGTAATTAGCTGTGTGACTTTGGGTAATCCCTTCTGCATTCTGAGCTCCAATTTTCTCATCTGAAAACTGAAGTGCTTAGATAAGACCATATATGACAGCCTTTCCGGTCCGGAAGGATGTGCGGTTGTTAGAATGTGTGGATGGGGTCCCCTCCCCCACTCCTATTGTAGTCCACAGCTCACTTGTCTGTTACCACCACCTGCTCCTTCATCTTCACAAATCCCAGGCAGCTCTCCCTCTGTCTCTGAGCTCGTTATAAAAGGGGGAAAGAAGGATACAGCTTACATGAGTCAGTTTGCCATAGTAAGGGTAGTAGCGGAGGTCAAAAGACGCCGACTCTGGGTAGTAATTGATGGATCGAATGTCATTTTCGTCACCTTTCTGTAAGCAAAAACAGATAAATGTGAAATGTTGGGTTACAGAGAGAGTTAGAGTCCAGTCTAAAGGGATTCTGGCTCAGGTAAAGTCACTATGTGACTCTCAACCTATTGTTTCAAACCTAAACTCAGAATTGGCTAGGGCTCAACCCTGATTTGTCCTCAGAGAAGCGTTTCTAGGGTGTGAATGTGCCTTGGCATTATAGTTCAAAGAAAATCATATTGAAGGCCTGGGTGATTGAGAGCAAAGTTACTCGGTATGACTTTGTTCTGGTTTCTTGGGTCCTAGGCAGAAAGGCTTCAAAGGCAGTTGAGAACTTTGTACTTTTCTAGGAAGAGCCTGTGATTGTAGCCTATCTCCAAAGAATCACAGTATGCTACCCGGCCTTGGATTTTGCAACTGAAGCAGGTATGCATTAGGGAACATTCCCTAAGTTCCCATTGCAGGTTTAGTTCTACTGGAAGTCACATCAAGTACACAGGAGCCTGAAGTATAGACACACCATCTATAGTTAGCTCACATGAACGCATGCTTCTCTTCGCATTCTCTGTACTGCTTCATCACTGAGCACAAAATTCCGACAGTAAGCAAGAGGACCCAAATAAGGGGGATGATTAAACAGGACTACCCTGAATTACACGACACCAGGTAATGTGTTAGATTAAGAGCTAGGATGTGGCTCAGTGGCACAGCATTTGCTGTTACTTTCAACTGCGTTGGTCTTTATGACTTATTCATATATTCAAAAACGAATGAATTTATCTTTAATGATGGCCTGTGGGATCAATTCCATTAGTTTGTAGTCATAGCCCACATGTGACTTTATATACACACACACATACATCTGAACAGAAGGAATGCTCGTCTCTTCTCACCTTACTCAGCTAGCAAATACGGCCTGACCTCAGGAAGCTCATCTTCCTTATTACCACTTTCCACGCGGGACTGGCCATTCTTTTCCGTGTCCCCATGGTACCTTTCATTCTGCCTGTTAAGATGTCTTGGCCCTGATTTCAGTTGTGTTTACTTAGGCATCCCCAACAGCTAGCTAAACACTTAGCATATAGAAAGTGATTGATAGACATTTGCTGAATGTGGCTGGGTGGCTGAATGAGTCTTTCTTGCTGTTTTCCGTTCTGCCCCTATGAAGCCTAGAGTTGTCTGCTTTATTCCTAGTTCTGACAATGACTATTTTCACGTTTGCAAGGCAACTATCCAAGGCTAAAGGATGCAGATGACGTCACTGAACAGAAGAGAACAATGTTTAAGAAGCAATGCCAAGATTGAGGGCTTTTGCCTACAAAGGAGCTAACTGACATAGATGAGATAGGAGTTAATGGTCCCTTGAAGGACCGTTAATTAGCATATTAATGGATTCTGTGTATACCTCCCTTGTAGTCGTTTGTTATTGCAACACCCAGTGCCACTGGTCATTGCTGTAAAATGTGAAGTTCAGTTTTAAAATCAGGGACTAATGACTCTAATGAAAGCTGCTTGTTTGGTTCAAAGAAGCAAGCCATTAGAGCTAAAAGCAAGAGTGTAAACAGAATCCCAATTAATGTCTCAGCACAGTCTGGTTCCCTGCTGTGGCCCCGAGGTGAGGTTCAGCCTCTGGCTTTCACAGGTGCACACGCACGCACGCACGCACGCACGCATGCACACATGTGCCCGCACACGTACACATACTGAATGCTTTCTGGAAATAAGACCTTAATACATTAAAAGGAAGAAAAATTATGAAAAACACTAATGCTTTTCCTACTTACCACCCATGTAGAAGTTCTTGCAACAGAAGAACTATCTCTGATTGACTGAAGCAAAAGCGCTAAACATACTTACTCCAAAGGAGAATTTACCTGAACTTTGCAGGCTACCTTCACAGGATCTCCAAGCTCAGGACGAAAGCCTACAATCTAGTGGAAAAAAAAACAAACAAACAGCGCTTGCTTTAATTATATATTTATACTTATTTATTTAATTATTTATTTATTTAATTTTTTTTTGTGACAGGGTTTCTCTATGTAACAGCTCTGACTGTCTCAGAATTCACTCTGTAGACCAGGCTGGCCTCGAACTCACAAACTCACATACATCTGTCTATCTCTGCCTCCCAATTGCTGAGATTGAAAGCATCTACCACCACCACCCTGGCCTATTTATTTACTTTTGAAGAAACTGACTTCACAGTAAAAATGGGATTTTTCTCCCTGCCTTTGCTCATTACTCCTCACACATAAATTTCATCTATGCCCCTTTTTAGGAATGTTACAAACAACTTCAAAGTTGTGTAGCCCAGCTTGCTTCCTGAAATATTTGTGTATTAGGTCCATCCACAGAATAAAAGACTACTGCAAAAATAACCAAAAAGATGTAAAGAACTTTCTAGTTTCAATGACTATATTTGACAAAAAGGTTCTGGCACTCCCTAAGGAAGACATGTTTTTTTTTTTTAAGGTGCATTTAAAAAGTTAATTACTAATTTATTTGTATGTGTATGGGTGACTCGCCTGCATGTATGTGAATGCACCATATACATGTCTGATGGCTACAGAGGCCAGAAGAGAGTGTTAGATCCCCTGAGACTGTAGTTAGAGACAGGTGCCATGTGGAAGCTGAGAATCAAATGCAGGTCCTTCAGAAAAGTAACCAGTAATCTTAACCCCTGAGCCATCTCCCCAGCCCAGAACAGTGCATTTTTAAGTGCTATAAAAGCATAAGAATCACTCTCCATCTTCGCCCAGTGTCAACCCTGCTTGTGTTACAACCATTTCTGGATTTCCATTCCATTTTTGAGACAGAGGCTGACCTGAATTTTGAGACCTTCCTGCCTCTGCCTTCTGAGTGCTGGGATTAGAGACACACTCTATTGCATTCAACTAGTGGCCCTCAAGGGGCAGGTTGGTGTGTAGGAAATGTTCAGAAAAAAATTAATTGGTCAATGTGTCCGGCTACTTGCAGTTTTGATGATGTGGATAAAGATGGGCAAAGCTGCAATGTGTGCATACCAGAGTCCAGCAGAAATATGGTTTCCATGCTCTCTACCCATGCATCCACATAACACAGCAGACCCCAAGGGCTAAGATACCCGGTTCATCTTGAGGAGGATGCAGGGCTGTCCAGTAGAGTATCCAAAAGTAGGGTCCTCCAGCCCAGAGCAATTCTTCAGGAAGGAGCGCTTAAATTGGCAGGCCTTCTTGTCCTCATCCTCATCTCCATCCTGGATGAAGAACTGTCCCGGAGGACAATCTACATTCATTTCCTCTTGAAGACTGTCGTTATAGCCTAGAGCACATGTGGGTGGCAAAGGATCATGTTAGAGAGGTGCCAGAAGGGAAGCCCACACCTTCAGTTGTTTCCCTCTAAGTCCCTGTACTCCTTCTGAAGTCCTCTTGTTCTACCACAATCCCTGGGGACTGGTATTAGGTACCAAGGGATATTCCCAGCGCCAACCCTCTAGCACAGTGGTTCTCAACCTTCCCAATGCTGCGACCCTTTAATCCAGCTCCTCATGTTGTGCTGACCCCCCCCCCATCAAATTATTTTCATTTCTACTTCCTGACTGTAGTTCTGCTACTGTTGTGAGTCATGATGTGAATATTGGATACACACGATATCTGCTATGCTCTACTCAAGGGAGTTGTGATCCATAGGTTGAGAGCCACTGCTCAAGGAAGCCAGCTTTCCTCTCAGTCCAGCTGCTAGTATAATCCACTGCCTCTCACTTCTTCAGAACTTTCAAGTGTCCGTCTCAGGTTAGAAGTTGATCATTTTATATCTTTTCTCCATTTCCCATTATTTCTGTTTGGATATGGCAAACAGCAAAGTTGGAGTGGCTGTCCCTTCTATTCTGAGAGAGGAACAGGCCTGTATCAGTAGATTTTGTAAGAGGGGCTATATCATATCAAGACACAGTATATGTCAGGAGGCTGTTTCTAGCCTAAAAGTCCTTAAATTCAATTTAGGAAATGTCTCCCTTTGAGATCAAGCACAGGTGACTGTGGTAGAGGAACTGGAGAGATATGAAAGAAGGAGAGGAGAGAAGAGGAGGGAGAAGAGGAGGAAAAAAAAACAAGAAGACTCCTCAACTTCTAAAGAGGCAAGTCACCACTGCAAAAGGAAGGTTTACATTGAAGTCTAGAAACTGAAGACAGCTACAGGGTCCCCAGCAAGCAAATAAGGGAGGGAGGGCTTCTCTAACTCTGAGGTACTTTGGACCTTTTATATTAGACAGAATGGGGCGTCTGTCCCAGCTACTTATCTCAGAGAGAGAGAAGTGGAGCTATTTGCGCGTTCACTATTGGAGCCTTCGGAGTCCATAAAACTGGGCCTTGAAAATGTACTGTGCCACCCTAGATGGTGGGGTTCAGTGAATCCTCTTGCACCCAGACATGCTGTTATGTCCGAAGCTGTTCACTCTTTTGGAAAAGATTGACCCACCAGAGGCAAAACTTAGAAAGGACTGCAGGCTCCAAATCTAGACAGGTTGTAACTTGGATATAATGAGATGTTAAATTGGTTATTTTATTTTATTTCTCAAAAATCCTTGACTTTAAATGTTGAATTGCAATTAAGTTAGTAACGAAAATAGGTTTTGTTATAATATTTTCACACATGGATCCCACTTTGTCTCTTTATCTACCTCCTCCATTGGAACTCTTACTTGCAGTCCTGGGCCTTGAACATAATAGGAAAATGCTCTACCACTAAGCTATGTTCCCAGTCCAGAGAACTTATTTTGACAAAACTACATTTAATTCAAAGATTTGTTTTAATCTTTTTACAGGAATAAGAACTATGCTCAAACACTAACTTTTAAAATAGAAACTGCACTCACACGACTCAGCATTTTTCTTGAGGTAGTTCCGTTAAAAATGTAGCATGGGTGTGGCACTCACTGCACCATTCCCATACTCATAGGGATGAAACCGATGCTCTGGAATATGGATTTCAGATACTGGTCCTTCTGGGAAAGACATCGTATCTATTAGTTTTATTTCTCATTTTCATGTGCATGTATTGCATACGTGGTGTGTGTTGCATGTGTGTGGGTACATCCATGTGCACGTGCATGTGGAGACCCAAGATTGATGCTGGGATGCTTCCTGGATTGCTCTTCCACTTTATTTATGGAGGCAAGGGTGTTCCAATCAAGCACAGAGTTCAACAATATGGCTCATCTCACTAGTCAGCTTTGCACGGCTCTGCCTTCCGAGGCTGGAGTTACAGGTTCTTTCCCATAGCCATACAGCATATGAGGATTCTGGAGATCCGAACTTTTGTCTTCTTGCTCGCTTGGCAAGTGGCAAGGGCTTAACTGCTGAGCCATCTCCCCAGTCACATGCCATCGACTTTTTAGAAGTAACCCAATGCCTTCTTGTTGTTCCCTGCCGTCATCATCGGGACAAAATTGGTATTTCCCCATCTACTATCTTATTGCAGGGATTTCCTCAGCAGAAATGCTGGCAACTTGCATCCTTGAAATAGCTCACAAGCATTTTTAAAGAAAGATACTATGCTGACTAAGATGCCCAAAATACTTTTGTGGCCCAAAATAGAACTCCATGGATCAGAAAGAACCCAGCTCTGTCATTCTACAGGAGCGGATTCTGAAGCTGTTTCACCCCAAACAGCAGTGAGCAACACTAATACAAAGCTGAACTTCTAACTCCTGCTTAAATGGCACCAGCATGGTCAGGAATCATGACATTTCTCACACTGAAAAGTTCATACACATCAAAAGAATTTTTTTTTTCGAGACAAGGTTTCTCTGTAGCTTTGGTGCCTGTCCTGGAACTAGCTCTTGTAGACCAGGTTGGCCTTGAACTCACAAAGATCCACCTGCCTCTGCCTCCCGAGTGCTGGGATTAAAGGCGTGCGCCACCACCGCCCGGCCACTAGAAAAATTTTAAATGAAGACCAGTTCAATAGCTATGGGGTATGGTCTGAGATTCTACCAACACCTGTGTGATGTTGATGTTGCAGACCCCAGGCTAACAGAGAGCTGCTCTCTCTCCTAAAGGTTCCAAGCTACTCCCACCTTAGCGTTCACAGAGTGAAAGACAAAGCCATTCATTTGAGAACATTACAGACACGGGAATTCTCAGCACACTTGAGGTCAACGTGCTAGGCAGAGCTTCAGTCCTCTGACTCGTTTATAAATTGCTGTTACAAGAAGACACTTACTTTCCCTCTTCAAGATAGCTCATCCCAGACTCCTCTTACCCCAGTGACATACAGGAGGCGGGGATCTTGCAGCTCTCGGAGGACAGTCTCCTTTCCTCACCATTAGCTCCCTCCAGAATGATCATTTAGAAGAGATCACTTAGGAAGCCAATCACCTGGGTGTGCCCAGGATTTAAGTAGGTGGTGCAGTGTGCTCATGAAGAGAAAAGAAGTTCTGTGTCTTAGAGAGCTCACATCGGGCAACACACAATCGGAGCATTAAAAAAAAAAATTATAAAGGGTGCAAGCAGGCATGTGAGACAGCAGAGGACCATGGCGGATAGGAGTGACTAAAGCAGCTTTCCTGGCCACCCACTACTTTTCTGAAGAGCTTTTCACTCCTCAGGGCAACTTACCCTGGAGAAAGCCATTCAGGCTGACCACATAATGCTGCCAAGTTTCAGGTTGGGAAATGTTGAAGTTGAAGTTAAGGCTATGAGTGAAGGGTCTGATCATGACTCCTGGCAATGAAAACAGGTCTGGGATAGATTAACCCATTCTTGGATTTTTTTTCCTATACAGATTCCCATGACACTTCCCTCCCTGCCACCCCCCACAGCAATCAAAATGAAAAGGGCCATAATTTTCCAAGTACCATTTTACTTTCCCTCTTAATAATTGAATCTCTAAGTCATTACCGGGAAGAACCCAAGTTAATTGAGGCTGAACATGCTGTGCAAGCGGATTTCTGTCCAGAGAGCTCTGACAATGCAGGGCATTTGGGCACACTCACCGGGAGGTTTCACCTGCTCGGTGAAGGTTGGCATGTAGGGACTGACGGCTAGGAACAGCATGTACAGGAATAGTGTGATCACAGCAGCCAGGGAGGCGTAGAAGAAGAAGTAAATGACTAAAATCAGACCTGTAGAGCAATTGAAGATGACAGTAGTCAGTGCCTGCCAATGAGCCCCACCTCCCCACTGGACTCATGAACCCAAATCAACTCAGGCAGATTCAGGATCTCCTTTCTTATTGGCCTTTGTCAATCTGGAACTGGTGACGACTGACTGTGTCAGGGGTTTGAAAGTGCTTTCCCTTTACAGTATCTTCAGAGAAGCGTCTTGCCGGGCACATGAGGACTATACGCAAGATTATAGGGAGTGGGCTTCAACAGAGAGCAGTGGGGACATGGCTTGGGAGTCTTCTAGGCCATGGCTGATGTCCTGAATACAGATCATTTGTTCTTCATTATGTCAGGTATCCTAAAGAGACCTAGTAACGTGATTATAGATATTTGCAAGGGACTGAAAAGCAGCCCTTCTTTTCACATGATCTAGAATTCAAAGCTTTGACTCATTTCCACTGGACTTACTTCTAATCAAGGCTTTTCACATGATCTAGAATTCAAAGTTTTGACTCATTTCCACTGGACTTACTTCTAATCAAGGCTTATCCTTGACTACTTATTTCAAATCTTATTCATCCTTAGCAAAGTTCAAGTTGCTCTTCTTTCCAAAAAGAACACTAATGAAGGGTGGGGAAGACAGTAGGAGAAAATAGTACTTAATCACTGATATCTGCTGTATGTGAACTTGGGAAAGTTGTAGAATCTACAACATATATTCATCTGTATCCCTGACAGTATCCCAAATTCAGTCTTTTCATAATCTTATCCTGATTCTACCACTTCTGTCTGTTCCATCTTGGATCTGAGATTTGCCACTCTGGGCCTTAGTGTCCTCATTTGGTAACAAGGACAGAAGCGTAGTACTTGATATATTAAATAAACATTAAATAATGCATGTCAACACCATGGCACATTGCCTGGCAGATCCTAAGTGCTCTATAAATGGCATCCATCGTTATTGCTATTATTAATATTGTTATTATTGCTATAAGCTCAGATGCATGATTATATGAATTGCCCTTCTCTGTGTTGTATTAAGATTATGTTTGTTCCAGGACTATATAGCAGGGTGAGGAAAATGAGCATGAGCTAAATGCCCAGAGCTCTTTTAGCCTTCCTTGGGGACCTCTCAGGCAAATGTATTTGCCTTCACTCATAGATGTGCCAATGATACTGGGACTAAAGGTTTGAACTGAATCATGAACCAGAAACTGGGATAAACCATACAACTCCAGTGTACCCCAAAATAAGTTCAAATGTTAATTCTGAAAATTGAACCACGAACCAAATAAAATTGGTGGAGGAGGGGGAGAGAGAGAGTGACTGTAGTAATCCAGCTGGAAATGGAATTGACCCTTTATGTTTGCGTAAGATGAACTAAAGCAAAATTGAAACATGGACGCATTGATTTCGCTGGAGTTCCCAGAGAAGAAGCAACCATGTCTGTGTGTTTGTGGTTCTTGCCTGTTGTTCACTGACTATCCTAACTGGATGCATCCTGTGTTTCTGCCTCCATTTCTCCACTCCCATTCCCATCCTGGGAATGGACCGACAGCCTGGAGCCATCTTAGGGGACCAAGACATTCAGTTTCATGCATGTAGGGTAATCGATGAATCACCTGTTTATTCCCTTGGCAATATCTTCTCTCCTCCTTAAAATGTGTGGGCCAGAAAGCTATAGATAAGATAGTGGCACTACTAGTGAGTCCCCTTAGCCTGATGCGGGGAGAGGTAACCTTGAGACTGGCAAGTTTGGTCTCTCACAGCCCTCAGGCAAAAGCAAGCTCTGCCACACTTACAGTCATCAATGTCTCTAATCTCTCCTCCTCCAGATAGATAGCTGTACCTGGGATCCTCCTCTAGGTTTCTGTCCCGAGTAGTCCCCACCCAAGTTTGGACAGACCACTAAGGGCTCATGCTCCCAACTCTTTACCCAACAGCGCTTCTAATCTCTGGAGACCTTACAAATCAGGGAGGGCCTTGCTCATTGGTCAAATTCATGAAGATAATGAGGCATTCTGGCAAGAGGATGAATTCTGGTATTTGAATCCCAGAACTGTCACTTATAAGTTACTTATAAATTACTGTGTGATTTTAAGGCCTTTCTAAGCCTGTTTTTGCACTTGAAAAATATAATAATAATAATATTTATTATCTCATATGATTCTTGTCAATATTCAGCTGTCTTGCAGACAGGTGTCTGAATTACTGCGCTAGCACAAGACCTGTGTGCCATGGGTCTGGCTGCAGCCTACAATTAAGCATCCCCATTGCTATGTCTTCCCCAAGCACTTGAACCTTTCTACATCACCCCTTTTTGCTGTCCCACGGCTTGCCATCCACCACAACAATTTATATGGATGATGTCTAGTGAAGTGCCAATGGTTGTTTAAGGGTTAATGTATGGGTCCCCTCTCCCAGAATTGGACTTGCATTTCCCAAGCCAGATTTACCAGTCCTCTTCAGGCGAGGAAGAAAGAGTTGGACCCCCTCTGGAGCTCCAAGGAGTGACTAGCAATTGTCTGTAGCTTCCAGGACATTGGAATGTCCCTTACGTGGTACATTACTTACAGTTTCAGGGTTGGGCAGGGGTGGGGCTGGGAACTGAGGAGGAGCAAAGGGAGATGGGCGTTGTTTAGAGCCTCACACCTGCTCTTCCTAATTTCAGGAGATAGAGTTGGCTACTTCATGCAAACGGAGCTGAATTAGCAACATTGGCTACAAAACACATGAATCTTGGCCAAAAGGACCTTTGGGAGGAAGGGCCACTGACTTCAACAACCTCAACCAATTAAAAACGGGCAGCAAAATATTCGGCTCCCCGAGACTCACAAGTCTGTAGCGATAACCGTAAGGGAAGGCCGGAGCCCTTCTGGAGCGGAGCTGCCTTCTCATGGCTGTTCAGCGGGCCAAGATGCTGCAGAGCAGAGGCAGGCGAGTAGGTCGGAGTTCTGGAGCTTCTGCTGGTACAGGAGACACTGGTTGCTGGGGACACTTGGCGCCTACTAAAAGTGAACCTTGCTGGCACGAGCCCTTCCCCAAAATAATCTAACATGCTCCTCTCTCATTGGTTGGCCCCTTCCTGGAATCAAAGGAAAGCCCTTTTGGAAAAGCAAGCTCATCATTACAGGGAGGGGGAGATATTCTGGGTCACGAGGATGAGCAACTCACCGCCCCCTTCGTGTGCCTTTCCACCTCTTGCCCTTCGCCAGCACCCGAAATATGATGGACTCAGTGGAAATCTTAAGTCATATTCTTCTCAATTGAGAGTTGAATATCAGTATGTGTGTGCGTGTGTGCGTGCGTGCATGTGTGTGTGTGTGTGTGTGTGTGTGTGCAAGGGGGTGGGGTGTGGGTGGGAGTTAGGGTGAGGGGAGATGTCCAAGAATAACTTGCTTTTTTCGTAAGGCTGATCTCATGCAAAAGGATCTAGGGTGTTAGGGAAGATTCCCTTCGCTCTCCCTACCGTCTTCTCGCCACGCACTCCAAGCCATCTATAAAATATTCCTTGCCTGATCACTTCCTGAACTCCTAAAAATGTGTATTATGTCTTAGATGCAAAGGCTCCTTCTTGAACCTTCCCTATCCCGAAGAGGGTCTTGGATAGAAAGAAGTATTTTTCTAGGCCACATGTCACAGTGGCCCCATCAGTCACTGCCCCTCATCCACACCCTTGGAATCCTGGCCAAATTTCTGTAGTGGTTGAGATCTATATTTATCCCTTAGCTTCAGGGCAGGGAACAAGGCAGAACTTTGCAGTGTCCGTTTCCCAGACATATATAACCCCTGAAGCCAAGATGGGATCCAGCGAAAGAAAATGACTAGAAACTGCTAGGAACACTGTAGAGCACTTTGGGTCGGTTTGGTCCACTACTGTGAGGCCTGGGTGGAGTTTGTGATCCTTCCTTTAAAAACCACCCCCTACCTCAATTTCACCCAGGTTACAGAATAGTGCATAACCAAGGCAAACAGTAAATTAAGTCACTCCCCTCTTTGAATTTCAATAAAATAAAGATCGATTTCAGGGCATCATCAGTGCTGAACACATGTTTAGCTCTATTTCTTATACGTTCTCCACTCCAGTACTTTGTGTTATCCCAGGGGTTGAAAAGGATAAATCCGAGGCCTAGGGAGGCCTCAAAACTAAATACAGGATCTATTAACTGGCCTTATCTTCCTAGAGGTTGGCGCGACGGCCCAGCAGTAAGAGCACTTTCTGCTCTTGTGGAGGACCAGAGTTCAGTTCCCAGCATCCATGTCAGGTGGCTCACAGCTACCTATTACTCCAGTTCTAGATAAACTGATGCCCTCTTCTGACCTCCATGGATACCCACACTCACTTGCGCACCAACACACAGAGAGAGAATAAAACAAATCTTAACAAAAGAGAATATGATCTTTTAATGACAGTTCAAAAATCAAGAGTATGGAGACAAAATAAATTTGGTGTGAGAAGACTTCAAGTAATAAAATATTGCATTCTCCAGAATTTCTTATCCCAACTAGTTTAATACATACTCAGGACATTTGCAATGCGCTTCGACTACAGCCCAGACTGCCTTCAAAGCCAAAAACGTCTGAATGTGTTCACATTCAACTCTAGTTGAAAGAGTTGTCGGAGTGGGACACAAGGCTCGGCAGTTAAGAACACTGGCTGCTCTTCCTGAGGACCGGGGTTCAATTCCCAGCACTCACATGATAGCTCGAAAGCATCTGTAATTCTAGTCCCAGGGGATGAAACACCCTCTCTGGCTTCCACAAACACAGCTTGCATGTGGTATACAGATATACATGTAGGCAAAACACCCTAAAAAGAAATAAATAAGAAGCCGTTTCTGTCAATTTAAAAAAAAAAAGACAATATGCTAAGCAGTGTACAGAATGGAGCCAGAACAGGTCAGTAGATCAGTGGCTGCAAAGGCATGGAAGGGGGAATTTAAAAAGCCTTGAATATGACTACAGATTCAAAGACAACATTATTCAAGTCTTCAAAGCCTCATGTTCTTTCCTTGGACAAAGCATTAAAAGCTGCTTTTCTCCCCCCCCCCCCCCCCATAGGATGTCCTGGTTGTCTGCTCTGGTAAAATTCTATGGCCATTGGCTGGCAATTAAGAACAGAAACAGTCTTCTGGACTCTTCTACTTTTCTGTCCTGAGTAGAAGGAAGAGGTGATAGAGCAGTTTAGAGGATTTTTGGCGGTACCATGTGACATAGGCTAATTCCTCACATCTGTTCCTGTGGACCATTTCCATGGAGGTGTGTGTCTGTATGTGAATGGGCAGTGTGGGTCACAGTCACAGGAGATCAGCTTCTCTCTGCAGGGAGTAGCTGGCTTCTCAGACTAGGGGTGAGGAGTAGGGTGTAGGCGGGGCAATGGAGCTTAAGAGTTTCTTGATATTGGAGTCATTCAGGCACTGTTAAGTATGCTCCCAAATCCTCTGTCCATCTTAGCCTTAGTCACCTGTGTTCTCAGTGGACAAGTCATTTGAGGAAGGAAGTGATAGGCCAAATTAGGGCCCGAGGCTACCCATAAACACTTCCTAACAAAGGGTGTCCTTTTTGAACTGAAGGAAGTGGGAGAATTCACTTGGGGCTATGATGACCAAGGGAGAGTTTCCAGAATAGGCAGGCCTCAGGCCAGACCTTGAAGGGCAGTACTTCGGACTGGAATAGTTATGGCTTGACTTTGATGGTGTCAGCCTGGTTCCTGGTGTCCAGTGTTCTTCCCCCACCCCCCTGCTCTCCCCTGTCTCCCGAACAGCTAGCCTCTGAGTAATGACCAGTAGGCCAAGCCAGCAGGCTCACTGGCTAAGATCAGAGGGTTTCCTTGACCTAAATGGTCCAGATTACGGCCCCAGATCCCTATTTCACTAGGTTCCAGGAAAATCCCTTAGCCCATCACATTCCAAAGCGGTTTCCATCTGTAGAGTACAGTTGGAAAGTGAGAGAGGCTTTCACTTCGAGGGCCTGAAGGCCGTGGGTTTGTGACTACGTAAGACTAGACCCCTGCAGGGAAAATTGAAGGCTTGGGAAATTGCGAAGACCTTGTGGAAATTCAATCCTATTTCTGCTGGCTAGAAGGCACTAATGGGTATAATACAGGCAAGAGATGTTGGTTCAAACAAACAACTAATTGGAATTAAGAGAAGAAGTGTGCAGAGGCCCATAATGAACGGATATGCTAATTGGTCTTCTTTGTTAGCCCCTTGGGCTTTGGCTGTGACATAGACTAGCCTATTAGATGCCTGCTCTGTAATAGCTGCCGAACGCTGGGGCCCTTTATTGCCATGGTAACATTGATGTCTAGAGTCTAGCTGAGCCCTGGATCTCTTAATTTACTACTCAGGCGGCTACAATTCTTTGGGTTTTATTATTCTTCGTGCCCCGGGTGCCAGAGTGGCAGTGAATCATGCTTATTCATCCTCTGCACCACCCACGGTGTCTCTGAATAAGACAGGGTGTCTCTTACTGTGTGTGATGAGCCGATTATCAAGTTAGAGCCTATTTCTGCCTAAACTAGGCTGGTACCTCTCAGAACCCCAATGTGCCTCTGGAACCGCGTACTTACCTGCTTCCTTAAGTGGCTTTTGGCCAGCAGAATGACAGCACAGCAGTGGACCCGCAGTGGCCCAGCCTCCCAGCAACTCTTGTTTGCTTGCTGAGCAAGGTGGAGCGGTGCAATAACCGTGGGGGCAGCACTAACTGTGAAAATGGACTTTAGAGACACAGGGAACAAATCATCTCAGAGTCCCTGCTGGGAACCGGTGGCAGAAGTTTCTATGTGGGAAAGCGCATTCCTTGTTCCAAGTGACTCCAAAGGGGGGGGGGAGCAGAAGCCTCTAAAGGTAAAAAGATACAGGGGTAACAGATTTTCTTTTTGGTAGATTATTGTTAAACAAATCTAGTCAGAGAGTTCAGTCTCCTCTGCAGGTTGGGAAGCAGCTTGTCCCTGGAGCTGCTCAATCTTTGGTGTCATAGGACAGAGGTGCCCTAAGCATCCACTATCAGGCTGAGGAGTAGGAAGGGGGGCTTTTTATGCATGCATGACCTCTTCTTAGTACTCGCCTAAGCTTGAAATGTGCTGTGTCTATATCTGATGCTGACTGCTTTATTGGGACATATGCTAAACTTGGATGATACTTTATACGCGCACGCACTTTATTCAAGAGCACATATGCTAAAATTGGGATGATATTCTATATGTGTGTGTCTGTGCCCAGCAGCAAGTGAGACTTTGCAACAGGTGCAGGCATGCTTTCCTGACACCTCTATCACTAAGAAATGGCTGGCCTCAAATTAAATGTTCAATGAAGCCCCACATCACAAATGGCCCTTTTGAGCAGAACAGAGCCTTTGGATTGTTGGTGTGTGTGTGTGTGCTTCTGTATGTATATGTGTTGCTGTATATTTATGTGTGAATGTGTATTTGTGTGTTTGTGTTTGCATACATTTGTGTGTGTGTGTCAGTATATATGTGTGTTTTTGTGCATTTGTGTGTTTATGTACACGTGTTGCTGCTTATTTGTGTGTATATGTGTGTTAGTGTGTGAGTTGGTATATATTTGTGTTTATGTGTGTGCTGGTATATATGCATGTTAGTGTATGCATGTGCGTATGTAAGTATATGTGTTGTATGTGTTTCCCTGCCACATTTTCTTTGCATTCTCAAGCGAACATTTGTAGACTAGGAGGGCAGCCATGGACTACACTCATTCATCATACACTGCAAGACTTCTTTTACTGTCTGCAGAGGATGTAGGATGGAGGGCGAGCGGGAGAGATCTCCTTGAAGTAGTTATATCTGAAGAGGAGAATTTTCCCTGCACCAGGCAGGAGAGAGAGCAGTAAGCCTAAGGAAAGCCAATCAGACATGCCAAACATAGAAGGGGTGGTTA